TTTAGGGTTTAGAGTTTAGGTAGGATGCAACGGGTGGCCTGAATGATGCGGCATGGGGTTCGGCATGCAGCTACGGCCACCCTGCTCCCAAAGCTTTATGCGGAAATTTCATGTCTCACTCGTTCCCAATAGGAAGTCATAAGACGCTTCACTCAGATATTTGGCCAACTGAGCTGCATTGAGAAAGATGCCCCGGATTGCTTAGCTGGCTCGTGATCTTCAGCGACAGCTTGGAAATACTATAGGGGGCCGGAATAAGAATAGTAATAATTACCTGTATTGTTCTGGGGGGTTCCTTATTACAACTCTAGTATAATGGACCCCGAAACCCTGTCCTAATCATTAAGGCCCCTACATGACCCTAACCTACAACCCTGGACCCTAAGACCGAACTACCCTGAACCCTAATGCCCTAAACCCTAAAACCCTAAACCCTAAAACCGAAATATCCTAAAACCCTAAAGCCCTAGAACCGAAATACCCTAAACCCTAATGCCCTAAACCCTAATACCCTAAACACTTAAACCCTAAACCCCCAAACCCGAAGCTTCGTGGCGGAGCCACCAGAAAACCCCAGGCCCCGAAGCCCAATCTCCTGAAGCCCTTTTTCCCCGAAAGTCTTTAGGGGTTTGGGGCTTACCTGGTTTAGGATTTAGGGTTTGGAGGTTTTGGGGTTTAGGGTTTAGGGGTTTAGGGGTTTAGGGTTCAGGGTTTAGGGATTTAGGGTGTAGGGGTTGAGAGTTTAGGGTTTAGGGTTTGGGGGTTTAGGGTTTAGGCTTTACCTGTAGCCGGAAAGACCTACCTTTTTGGGCTTCCTTATCATGTTTTTTAAATATAGCTCCTTAAAAAGGTAGGTCTATTCGGTTACAGGTATGGTTTAGGGAGTCTGAAAAATCTAAACATAAAATTCTAAAACACAAGGCCCCGGACAGCCCTGAATCTCTACGCCACTCAGACTCCCCATATCCCCAAACCACCAGTGTAGACATCTGAATAGTCATGAATCGTGACGTTCCTGTTCATCCCAACACAATTCCTCTACCACAGAACACCCACACCCTCTTCGAATCAAAAGCCATATAATTATGTTCAAGCCCATCAAAGCCGGTGAACCATCTTTGTTTAAGTGACCAAAAACGAGAGCGGCACATGATTTCAAAAGTCCTAAGTAATATTTATAACATCAAATGCAGCGAGTCCTTGTAATCCCTGCATATAGTATGTAAACGAAAGCAAAGCTTTGACCAACTCTGCACGAAACCTGGTGAGTTGCCGCACAACCCCAAGTGCATGCATCGCCGCTCGACCTTGGACAGGCCTAATTGACATAGAAGCCTGAAAAATCAGCAATGCTGGTTTGCTGGCTTCCTTATTATGCTTTCGTATGTTTTTGTAATATTCTACCGCGAAACCCTACTCTAGTTACTCAGGCCCTTATCACAGCATTTCCGAGCTCCGAGAAACTTGGATCTGTTGGGCTGCACCTTACAGGCAAGAAGCAGAACTCAATTGAAATATAGGGGAGGGAGAGATCTCTGTCTCTACATAGATCATTAGAGATCTCTACATATATTATGACATTGGCATGTCAGCAAATCACCTAGCTACTAAGAGTCAGGACGGTACTGAGTATCAGTGCACAAACAGAGGCAATCGCCGTGCCAAAGCGGTGATCGCAAACCCTAAACCCTAAACCCTAAACCCTAAACTGGAGAGTTGCGGATGAAGCTGCGAGTTCCCTACCAAACCCTTAAACCCTACAAGCTGCTAGCCCGAAACAAAGATACCCAGAGAACCCAATACCCATGAATCAAGGAATATACTTTAAATCATACTATTAAGGCCCCCATGATTTAAGGTATATTCCTTAAATTAAGGGGTATTGGGCTCTCTGGGTCCCTACCAAACCCCAAACCCTACAAGCTCCAAGCCCTAAACAAAAGATAGGCCCCAAACCCCAAACCTGGGTAGGCCTTTGGGACATTTTTTTTATTTACGAAAATTTTTCAGAGGCCAACCTAGAGACCCTAAACCCTGTGTAAACCGTCAACTCTGAAGTCTAAGAGCCAGAACTAAACCCGACAGTAGACAGTAAGCTCTAAAGCCTAGAAGCCTTGATCCCTAAACTTTAGGTAAACCCTAAGCCCTAAACCCCGAGCCCTAAACTCTATCAAAGACCCTAAACCCCAAACCCCAAGGCCTAAACTCTAGTGAACAACCCCAAGCCTCGAACCCAAAACCCCGAGCCCTTCCCGAAAACTTTATATAAACCCTAAACCCTAAACCCCGAGCCCCAAACTCTATGGAAAAACCCTAGGCCTTAAACCCTAAACCTGTGACAAAACCCTAAACCCCGAGCCCTAAACTC